GCTGAAGTGAGTATACCATCCCAAGGTCAGTGCAGGCAGCAGCTGACTCCTGCAGCCCCACTGGTGACTGCCGGCTGTACAAAATGTGGTTCTTGTGCTAGATTCAACGGCATTTTGGATCTCTCATTCTCTCTCCGCTGTGGGGGAGGGAAGTCTACAGGGAGCCAAACTAGCCAACTGTTTTCCAAATAATTGTGTGTTCAGTTTTGATTTAGGAGGCAAGACTTAAGTCTTCCTGTTTACAGCAATTTCCTGGGTTTTGCCCAATTAGCCATAGAGACAGGTTTATCGCTGCTGATCTAACAATAATATACTTTGCATTCAGAGCTTTTTAGCTCAAAGCACTTTATAAACATTCGTTTAAGCCTCACAAACCCTCTTGTCTTAGTAGGTATTATGAAATGTGTTTTCCATCTGGGTAAAGGAAGGGGCAGAGATTGCAACTTGCATAACATCAGCTGAAACGCACAGAGGGAGAGAGCCCAGGGCCAGCTGCCCTGTGCCTCCTAGATCATAGCACACAAACCTTTGTAGGAAGGCTGTGTCAGGCTGTGTCCATATGTTGCTAGCTGCATGCTGCGAGATATCCGTCCCCTCTGCTTTTGGCTCTGGTCCTAGGAAGAAATCGGCGTGTTTGTTCTGACGGTGACCTTCTCTTTCTGTTCTGCCTGCCCCATTACTGTAGGGCCATGAAGGAAGCCCGTTGCAGGGTGCTCTATCTGGTTTGCTGCATCAAGCAGCCTTGGCTGTGCTGTCTCCGTTCAGACATGTCTTTCCCTACCCCAAACTCTGCGATCTCCCTTGCTAGGTGTGGACACCCATGTGCACAGAATCACAAACAGGCTGAAGTGGGTGAAGAAGGAGACCAGAACCCCTGAGGCAACTCGGGTTGCACTGGAGGACTGGCTGCCCAGGTGGGATCTGACACCCCAGTCTCCTTTCTCCACACAAAGCCCCTCGTGCTAGTTGCAGGAACCGTATCTGCCCACAGTCCTGCTTATGGTATTTTCCGTGACTGAAATCCAGGTCCCTCTTTTTTATGGGTGACTAATCCACTAATATGCCCGGAGAGCAGCAACAATATCTTGGCTGTTTCCCTGCTGTCAGATGTGTCAAACACCACTGTTGCAGCAAAGTCCCTGGAGACCCTGATGCTAGTCTCTCTTGCCTAGATGAGTGTACATGTCCCAAGCTAGGTGTTTTTCCACGTGTGCCCTTGCTGAGCTTAATGGCCACAGTAGCATCAGACCATGGTTGGATTCAAGCCTTCAGCGATGCTTAATCTTCTATAGTGACCGCTAATCAACAGGTAGCGCCTCCTGGTCTGGCACATCTCCATGTCTGGCCTGTGCCTTAGCACGAGACAGTGACCATGTGTGCTTCCTTTGTCCTGTCCCCCTCCCCCAGTGTCTTCCCTGCACCCCCGTTTCAAAGGGATAAGGAAAGGCTGGGAGGGCTGTACTTAGCAAGAGACTGGGACCCACATCTAGTAGGCTTGAGGAGCCAAAAGGAACAAGCAGTAGAGGGAAAGGTGTCCATTTAAAAGCACGGACTGGTCTTTAACCCCCTCTGAACAACTGCACTGGATTGCTCACACTCTCTTCTCACTGCAGGGATCTCTGGAGGGAGATAAACTGGCTCTTGGTGGGCTTTGGCCAGCAGACCTGCTTGCCTGTGAATCCTCGCTGCAAAGAGTGCCTCAATCAAGACATTTGCCCAGCTGCTAAGAGATGCTGACAGATCAACAGGTCTTCCTAGAGCAACAGAGCTGCTTCAGCACGGAAGCCCAGAGCCAAGCCCTAGTAAGGATGTTTTGCATGGGGCTGAGCGTGTGACTGTAGGG